TATATATATATATATGAGGTAGGAAACACTCAGAGACCCAAGGTGAAGATTTGAACTGAAATCTTTTGCCGTTCAAGTCAACAGGATAACTTGGAGAAGAAGAAAGATAAGGTAGAGGTTGAGTGTGGAACTTGATTCAAAATGATGCAACTTAATTACCTCATTAGTGAATAAAGAATCTCCTAAAATATAACTACATATACTTGGGGTAAGTTCTAAGTTGGTAATTAATTAGCCTAATTATTTCCTATCAATAAATATAGATGAGAGGAAGAGAATGTCCGTAAATGGCCATTTGGTAAGAAGCGTAGACAAAGACATGGTGCCATACTGCCATGCATATGTTGCTAGTCATTTTAGCCCATATCATTTCTAACTACAAACAAATCAATCATTAACTATCGCTAAACCATACTAATTAAATCATTAACAATGTTTTTTTATATATATATTTAAAAATCATGTACATAGTGTGAAAACATTGAAAGTGCGTTTTTTACTTTTTTTAATATAATGAATGTTCAGCAATTTTTACTAAGTTTTGATAACATTGGGCATGCAATTAATATCGTGGGGTCAAACGTTTGCACCCAATTAAATCCCATAATCCATATATATATATATATGGGAAATGATAATGTTATTAATGAGAAGAGAAAAACAAAGAGAGAGAGAAAAGAGCGCACCCAAAAATATTATGCTATCCGAATCAGACCATCATTTTCATGTCTTGCAATTGGTTCGACACACCCTGCCTAGTCTTAGATTTTGTAGGTTCCTCTTTCTTAAGTTTGTATGCGCGCTTGTCTTCTTGTTTATTTATTTTTTTCCAACTGTAATTTCAGAGAGTATTAATTCCTAGAAATATATAGTTGAAGTTTCTTATTTTAAAAAGTACTTGTTAGAATATATATTTTATATTAATACTTAAATTATAAATATTTATTAGATAAAATTATAAAATGATCATCCATCGTAAAATTTAAGTCTTTTGAATAGAAATCAATTTATAAATTTAAAATTTTAGATTAAGATGATTTTTTTAATATTGTATAGCCTTAATGATCAAATGATCATAAATTTGAAACTTATCATTCTTATTTTTTCTAATTAAATAATTAAACACAAGATAATGATAGGTTCGTGTAAGTTTTAAGCCTATAAGATTTTCATTTGAAGAAATATGTTAAAGATTAATATAAAAATTATTTTTTTAACATTATCCATAAATATAAGTTTTTGAATTGAAATAGTTACTTGATAATCCTATATCGAGTATATACTACTCCATATTGAACCTTGCGTTTCTTTTCTCTTATTATAATCAACTTTGATTTGATCTATTCCTTATAGTAGCATCCAGCCAGTATTATTGATTTTACCGAATTGAAAAACATCACATCAAAATCTACTTCTGTCTCGTTGTTCATAAACTTTTCAACATATTATCGTGTTCCTAAGTGAACAACGATATCAAGTCTCCATATATATTTTAAAGAATCATGTAAGATTATGAAGCCATGTGTCAACAGTCTTCCATTTTTAGATAGTTTCGGCAAATAAATTTGCTATTTCGCCCCAACATTTGGACGTCTGCAATGCATCGTCTAGTTGTTAAGAAGTATTCTTCATATCTACTTCCTATTCCAATTACGAAGAAAATATGTTTGAACTATTTTTTGGACACATGTGTTTTAAGGTTTTTAGGGCTTGTTTGGTACTGTTATGTAATATTGTACTGTGATTGTTGTCATGTGTTATGTTGCACTGTGTTATTCGGCATTTTGTTGTAGAATGAAAACAGTATTTAGTAACTGGTTATTTATAAATATATTAAAATAACTAATTACCCTACTTTGTTTCAAAAGCAAAGCAATTTTTTTTTTTTTTGAAGTAACACCTGAAAAATATAAAAATATCAAACAGGTACTTAGACTATATTTGTTTGGCTTTACTACGATAGTTAAGCAACCTTTTGATCTAATTTTTTAATTAGAAAATTTTTATACAAAACTTATTTTTAGAAAACTTAGAGCATGTGAAAACCGGTTATAAGAAAAATATACAATCATCCATGTTTTACTTAAAAGAACATCAAGGTCAAACAAACCTTTAATAAGCCATTCGTTTGTGCATCTATAAAGAAATTATTTTTTTACAGCCTCCTTTAATATCCGCAACTTGAATAAGTCTATTTATGAAATAATGTGAATTTTTTTAGCATTGAATATTATGTAAAAAAAGAAAAGCAGAAAGTAAAATGAAAGGCCGTGTGTTTGTGTGGGAGAGAAGAAGAAACAAATAAAAATAGCGTATCTTTGAGTCAGCCACCTTAGGCGCGCTGTCAATTCTCCACAAGTATAATGCTGATGTCGTTGCAATTCATGTCTAGAAAGAAAAGGATTGTAGGGACAGGAAAAAGGAAGAGATCATAAATGGGGACAAAATAAAGCCATGGATTTTTTTTTTTCCCCTTCCTTATGTGGACAAGTTGAGAGCAACAGTGGAAGTAGAATAAAGGAATCGAACCTATTATATACCCACCACTAATACTAAATATTACTGCTACTACAGATACAGATTATATGCAGGTCAAACCAGTTGACTGTTTTAATGGATAAAGCAGATTGTTTTATGATCTGAATACAATCTGCAGCATTTTAATTTTTAATCATAATGAAAGCTAATCGAATATATATATATATATATATATGTGCAGTAGAGCTAGAACGAGGAGCCCCAAGGCTCGGCATTAATTACAAGCCTCTAATTAAAGCACTTAAATGGATTCGTCATCAAATCCCTAATCAAAGGAATTTATTCACTAGGCTTGATAAGGTTAAGGTGTTCTCTAAATTCGATATGAAATCAAGCTTTTGGCGGATCCAAATTGCTAAGAAGGATCGTTTATTCAGGATTTGTTATCGTCTATATCGATGATATTTTAGTCTTCTTAAAATCAACAAACCAACATTTTAAGCATTTCAAAGCTTTCCTTGTGGCCACTAAAAAAATTAGCTTGGTTAATGGGATTTGGAGATCCTCCTGCAAGGATGAGGATGACATGAAACATTTTTTCATATCATAATATCATCCCTTTACTCTATTTTTCCATCTTAATTTTATTTTTTATATTAAATATAAATAAATAAATAAATTTTAGAAAAAAAAACCGGAGACAATGTGAAGATATATCCGATCACTCTCTCTAAAAATTAACGAAACAAAATGAAACTAAAAACATTTTTTATCAAATATATACTTTATGGGTTTAAATTTATATTTATGATACTAAACAAAATTTGAGTATAAAATAAAATATTTATAGTATTTTTTTAACACTAATAAAACTTTATATTTTCATTTATAAGTCAAATTAAGATATTTATAAAATTAAAAAAATAAATTATAATAGACTTGTATGAGATATTATAAAATTATAACTACCATTCAAAAGTTTAAAAATTTAACTAAAACTCTCTTCACATTAAAAAAAGTATACTATAAATATTTTATTTTCTACTTAAAATTTGCTTATTAATGTATATAGAGACAAATTTAAGACTATAAAGGATATTTTGGATAAAAAAAATATTTTTATCTTAATTTTTTTTAGAGAGAATAATCAAATATAACTTCACTTTTTTTTTCAATTTTTCAAAATTTATTTATTTAAATTCGATAAAAAAAAAGTAAGGTTGAGGGAAAAAAAAGTTAACATCGTTGGTTCAAAAGTTAAAAAAAAGAAGATGAAATTAAGATAAAAACCAAACAAAAATAAATAAATTTAAGACCAAAAAAGTAGATAGATACGATAAAGACAAAGAAAAAATATAGAAACTCTACGACCGTTAACCAAAAAATGTAACTAGCTAGTGATAGCAAATTGTAATTTGTCCATTGAACGAAGCTTTTTCCTTTCCTTTTCCTTTCCTTTTTCATTTTTGGACATGAAGGGACTGCTTTCTTTGATTGACAATGGTGGTACATATTGTTACTGATGAGGTACAAATTATTTGGCACAGGGACTCCCATCAAATCTGCTAAAGAATTAAAAATAGTCAAAGACTGATAAACTGATGTGGAGGACACTTTATAGGATGGTTGTTCCATCTTGAGCAACCCTAATACATCACTTAAAATCACAAACAGAAAATATAAATATTATAAACCTTCTTATATAAGTAGTGGTGATCAGAAATAATTCAAACTTTTAGTTAATCTCAAATTAGTGGAAGTCAGGCTGGTCTAATTAGAACCAACATTTGTGTGGTTGTATATGATTAGCCAATCAGATTTTACTTTTTACAAACCTTGAGTTATTAATAAAGCTTTTTTCATCACCAAGTACCTAAACATTAGCATATGATTAACCTACCAATTATACATTCAATATAAAATATTTTATATATTTGGAGGTATTCTATTATATTTATATCGATATTGAAGTTTATAATATTTTTACGAGTGAGGGATTAATCGTATGTAGATATGACAATTCTTTAAACAAAATTCTAACCAAAAATCTCAAACTTTTTCTCATCTCTCGAACTAAAATGACAAATTTCACGACTGAAAATGACTATGCCCCCCTTTTATTTTTGAAATGTAAATGTCCCCACTCCCATCCACTTTAAATTCCCGATAATTCAACACCTTCATGAGAAGTTGGCAGAGAAGCAATCACATCTGGTGGCGGTTTGATAATTTTCCGGCGAATCTTGGCCACTATAACTTTCAAGTGGAGGAAGCATAGAATTATAATTGCAAAGGATATTTTAGAATGTGCTGTCGAGCATCGGTACTAGCACATCAATCATATTCCTTCTCCCATCCCATAAATAATGTGATCAGGGCTACCATTGAACACACTCTCAAGTCTTAACAAGACAAGCTGCACAAAAAAAACCTCACCTAGTTACCCCATCTTTCTTTTTTCTTTTTTGTTCTCCCCTAGGAAAAAATATAAGTGACAAGTTAGGGAGAGCTGTTAATTAAGGATGGTGAAGTTTTCTAAACAGTTTGAGGGTCAGCTTGTGCCTGAATGGAAAGAGGCTTTTGTTGATTACTGGGAACTCAAGAAAGACCTCAAGAAAATCCATCTCCTTAACAACAGGGACAACAACAATAGCCACAAGAACACCCCCACCAAGCACAATCATCACCACTCTTTAACTAGCAACTTCCTCTCCTCACTTAAGGAGTTCTCTTTATTTGGTCATCAACACAAGGACCATGAAGCCATTCATGTACTACGATCTCTACCCCTAACGTATGCATTGATTCTTTAATATCTGTGCTTGACAAGAACTAATGTGATGAATATTGGTGTGTAACAGGTTCATAAAAAACTTGCATCTTCAGCTAGTAAAGGTGACATGTATGAGACAGAACTGCTTGAGCAATTTGAGGATGGCGATGCTGCAAAAGAGTTTTTCTCATGCTTGGACCTACAACTTAACAAAGTTAACCAATTTTTCAAGACCAAGGAGAAAGAGTTCTTGGATAGAGGGGATTGCTTGAAGAAACAAATGGAGATTCTTGTTGAGCTCAAAGCTGCATTCAAACAAAAGCGCGACAAAGCTGCTAATTCTGCTCAGGATTCCACTGAGGATGAATCTATTAACTGCTCCATCTCTTGTGGTATATATGACATATTCCAACTTTGGGCTGTGATAGCCAATTTTCCAAATTCACATCATTTAATCAATTATATGACATATTCCAACTTGGGGCTGTGATAGCCAATTTTCCAAATTCACATCATTTAATCAATTATCTTATATCAAATATATAATATAAGATGTCACATTTTCGTGTCCTCATTTAAATCTGCACATGCACTTACCATTAGGACTCATATCATGTCTTTTGCTCTCCTGACTCAGAACATGATAGTTCATGCACAGCACAAGTACTTTTGACACTTAAATGTATCGAGTCCTACGTTGTTTGAAACACGGACCATAAAAGAGTTGTAGCAGAACAGTACCCTCAACCTTCATAATTAATCTTTAGCAGGTAGGAAAACAAAATAATAATAATAATAATTAAATGGGAATAATATTAGTATTAATGTGCAAGAGTTGATTTTCCTCTCTCTTGCTTAAAATAATCTGATGTTGGTAAATTAATTATCTCTATTCCGTATCTTCTTTTTTTCTTGGCTGCAGAGGAAGATTCTGTGAAAGACAGAACAGAAGAAGAGCTGGTTCAATACAACAGCACAGATGAACTGGAGAAAAATGAAGTCCTGGACTCCCCAAGAACAGAAGAGTTGGGAAAATCAATGAGGATGAAAAGAGAGGATAGCAAACTGACGACACTTTCAGGCCGTGCTTTCAATTGCCAAGGGAAGAATTTAAGGATAAACATTCCTCTAACAACACCTTCTCGCACTTTCTCGGCGATCAGTTATCTTGTTTGGGGAGATTTAGTTAATCAGTCCTCCAAGAAATGCAACTCTGAAGGGAGCAAGCTGCATATCAACAAAACAAAGTTGCATCATGCAGAGAAGATGATTAAAGGAGCATTCATAGAGCTCTATAAAGGGTTGGGCTATCTCAAAACTTACAGGTATTTAATTGAAGATTTACTTTTTCTACTGCATTGTTGATGTTTTATTTGAAGATGGAGAAGCTTACTGCTCTGATCTGCAATTAATGATGTGATTCCAGGAACTTGAACATGCTTGCTTTTATAAAGATTTTGAAGAAGTTTGATAAAGTAAGTAAATAGGTTACCTTTTAAACATCTTTTACCATTTCATTTTGGCCTGCATGTATATCTAATAAAATAGATTTTTTTTTTTTTTTTTGATAGGTAACTGGAAAACAAGTTCTTCCCATCTATCTAAAAGTTGTGGAAAGCTCCTATTTTAACAGTTCAGACAAGGTAAATTCTGAATCACAAAAACAACAAAATAGCTGGTCCCTTTAAGCATTGCTCTGCTGCAAAAAACAAATTAAGATGGGATGATTTTTAGATGTTTGCCATTGGCTCTTTTTAAGCCTGAACATTTTCCGACAAGGTTAAGTGGCCAATGATCCTGCTTCTCATGTCTGCACTGAAGGGTAGTCCTTAGATTTGTGGAAATCGAACATGGATATGCTTGTCTGTCACTTCAAATTTTGTGGACAAAATGTTTCGTAAATCTGTTACATTTGCTCATTAGTCTAAAAAATGGCAGGTAATTAACTTAGCCGATGAAGTTGAGGATCTTTTTATTAAACATTTCGCTAAAGAAGATCGAAGAAAGGCCAGGAAATATCTTAAACCGCTTCAACATACAGAATCACACTCTGTCACCTTTTTCATCGGTGAGTTTCTTTGTAAATTTGACTGAATTACCCTAGTATTAAAATTACAGGATGACATGGTTTAAGTTACCTTCCTTTTTTTATCAATCATTTGGGTGGAGAGCTTTGTTCTTGCTCACTTTGTGACATAATACAGGGTTAAAAGATACATTAATATGGACCCATCAGGCCACTAGGATTTCAAATGAAGGGCAGTGGCTGGTTCACTTTATTTGGGTGGAAGATAAGGCATAGGTCCCATGTCATACCATTATCATCTTTGATACAGATTTGAGTCGTGCAAGTATTGAAAATTAGGAATGCTATTAGCTCCTAAAGAGATAACACAAGGTTTTCCCCTAAGCATTAAAAAGCTATGGAGTATGCTTTTGAATGAGTGGAGTCACTTACCCCAACATGCATATCAGGCATTAAGAATCCCTTGATCTTCTATTGTGTGATTAAATATCCTTCTTTGATCTAAAAGATAAGAAATTCGAGTCCTTGCATTGCATAATATATCAGGCACTGGTTTTCTGTGCATATAAGCATAATATTAATCTCCACTTTAAACTAGTTTGCACAGCTTTTAAGCTATACCTTCCAACATGCCCTTGAATGCAAATTTAACTGAATTTGCCGAATCTGATTCACATATTATAATGTCTTCTACTGATAATTATGAGAATTCCATGTTCAATTGAATCATAAATAGATGGATATTAACCTGATCCGTGAGAAAATATTCAGGACTGTTCACCGGGTGCTTCATAGCCCTCCTTGTTGGCTATGTCATAATGGCTCGTATCACGGGCATGTACAGACGACAGCCAGATTCAGTATACATGGAAACTGCCTATCCTGTGCTCAGGCAAGTTGCCTCAATTTACTCATATAATAAGATCCCGTTTGAAATTCTTGTAAAGAAAGGCAGCTTACAGAAAAAACGGGATTTTGTTATTTGCAGCATGTTCAGCTTGATGTTCCTGCACTTCTTTCTGTATGGTTGTAACATTTTCATGTGGAGGAAAGCCAGGATAAATTATAGCTTCATCTTTGAGCTGGCCTCTACAAAGGAGCTGAAGTACAGAGATGTATTCTTGATTTGCACCATATCTATGACTGCTGTACTGGGAATCATGTTCATTCATCTGTCACTTCTTACCAACGGACATTCATATTCCCAAGTTCAAGCCATCCCAGGCCTTCTGTTATTGGTAATTTGCTGATTAAAAATCTGATAGACTTAATACACTTTAAGTACTTCTGTTTCAAGTCCGATTCTTGGTTATGTCGAAGACTGAATTTGTCGCTACTTTATGTGCAGAGCTTCCTGTTATTGCTTCTGTGCCCCTTCAAGATTTGCTACCACTCAAGTCGTTACCGCTTCCTTTGTGTGATAAGAAACATCGTTCTCTCACCTCTCTATAAGGTAAAAAGACATTATGTTAACGTTATAAACGTATGGTTTCATAGGCTTAGCCTTCACTGCGAGTTTCATTCGGCTCCTCTGCTGAAAGGAATTTTAACCTAATCATCTATTTAACTGCTCCTAATCATTGTCTCTGCAGGTTGTCATGCTGGACTTCTTCATGGCTGATCAACTTTGCAGTCAGGTTGGTTTTAGTGCTAAATAAAGGCCCCTTGTTTTAAAACAATATTAAACCTCAATAGTTCAGTAGACGTCAGAGAATTTACACCTTGACCGATGTTGCTTGTTATTGAACAGGTGCCAATGCTTAGGAACCTTGAGTATGTGGCGTGCTATTATTTAACTGGGAGCTACAAAAATCAGGACTATGGCTACTGCATGAGGGCCAAGCATTACCGCGATCTTGCTTATGCAGTGTCCTTCCTACCCTATTACTGGAGAGCAATGCAGGTACAGTATTGAGCTCTCCAGCCCCTCCGATTAAATACCAATCATTTGCTTACTTAAGGTTCAATATATCTTCTTTAAACAATATTAGTGCATCTGATTCTATTTTATTGCACTTAACTGGGGATGCAGTGTGCTAGGCGATGGTTCGATGAAGGACAGACAAGCCACCTTGTAAATCTAGGTAAATATGTGTCAGCAATGTTAGCAGCAGGAGCCAAAGTGGCCTATGAGAAAGAAAGGAGTGTTGGATGGCTGTGCCTTGTTGTAGTTATCTCAAGTGCTGCAACAATTTACCAATTGTATTGGGACTTTGTAAAGGATTGGGGTTTGCTCCAAATTAATTCCAAGAATCCCTGGCTAAGGAATGAATTAATGCTTCGTCAAAAGTTCATTTACTACTTCTCCATGGTACATATTATGTCCCCTCAATCACTCTCTTTTTCAGTGGAATCATGTAGGTTCCGATTTGAGTGGCATAGGAACTTAGTTGCCAGCAAAGTCAAAGTCTCAGAACACACGAAACGATTATCCAATTCACGGATATTGGCACCAACCAAGTTGTTCTGATTTCTGATTAGACATCCAACTTGCCCATTTTAATTTTAGATGTAAGATGATCAAGATAAGATGTTCTTCGAAAGAGCACAATGAACATATTCCTATGATAAGTGCTGATAGTAGCATTTTACAATGAAAGTAAGATTCCTGTCTCATATCAGCTAGGCTACCAGGCAGACAAGTAAAGAGAATTAGATTTCTGAAATTAAGGACACGTTACAGACACAGATTTGATTTGATTTCTTTTCGGGTTGCAAGTACAAGTCATTTTTTAATTCCAGTGAAAATTCTAAATCAAACTTTGGATGTTTCCTGCAGGGATTGAACCTTGTTCTCAGGCTTGCTTGGCTACAAACTGTTCTCCATTCGAATTTTGAGCACGTTGATTACAGAGTGACTGGACTATTTTTAGCTTCCCTTGAAGTCGTTAGGAGAGGACAGTGGAACTTTTACAGGTAATACATTGTTTGAAAATGGATGTAGCCTTTTGTGATTTGTTAGTACGATCATGCAAAACTAAATTGCAGCATTTCATACCTTATCATGAGGTCTCATAAGGTCTAATGAAAAAACTGTTTCCATGGTCCAGGTTGGAGAACGAGCATCTAAATAATGCCGGCAAGTTTAGAGCAGTTAAGACGGTGCCACTTCCTTTTCATGAAGTGGATGAGGAAGGCTGATGATGCTCATTGGCAGCAGTTGCTTACAGAATTTGATTCGGATTTACGGACATTTTTCAACCCAAATTTTTCTGATGAGAACCTCATTGTCCTTGTACAAGTCGTTGTAGCAAGACATCAACTTGGTCATAATTGTTCCAGGGATAGAAAAGGTTCATACTTGTATACAGAATTTTCTTCCAAGGAAAAAAAAATAATGCATGGGGCACTTGCCTTAATTTCTACTAGTCAACTCTTTCTTGCCATAGTTTTTCTTGCTTTCCATCCAGATTCTGCAAAACACTGGACTATGTTAAGAAGTAGTTTGTTGAATCCAAAACTGAAGCAAGACCACAAGCCATGACTATATTAAACTTCTTATTCTTTTGGTTTTTGGGCTTACTGATAGCTACTCCACAGAGTCATCTCGAGTGCTTTCCTATTTTAAAAACATTGATGCGTTCAAATCTTCTGGTTACATATGTTCCCATGAAGAATCGGAAATTCTGCAAAACCTAAAACAAGCCATGTTTACAGCCAAACGTTCCACCTTTGGGCTCCGTACCACTGGAAAGCAGCTTCCTAGTCGTGATCAATGTCAATCAGAAAAAAAGGCAAGAGAAAAGAAGAAAAAAGTAGAAAGAAACTGTAAAAGCCCCGCTGTGTCAGCTAGCACCAGAAGATCCTGCTCTGAATGGGAGCTAATATGACATGAACCTCTTGAGATGCTGCTACACAGCATATAGGTAAGTTGATACTAGATTAGTACTACGTAGTTACCCAGGCACTATTTCTTTCTTGGCCTTGGTTGATCCCATTAAATTGAACTTTATAACAATACACTCAGACTGGTGCATTCAACTCCAGAACAAAATCATTTTAGAATGGCAAGGACTACAAACCCATTTCAAATTCTAGGAACTTAGTAAATATCATTCGGACAAACAGGCTTCGAGGTTTAGACAAGAAGTGGCTGGCACATACGTGCAGTCCCAAACACATACTGCTATATTGCTCACCCATTAGTACTCAACAATTGAAACCAAGTTCTCTTTTTTCGTCAACAATAAATCTTCCTTTCACTTTCAGCACCATTCAAACGTTGTTTCTTGGCATCTTTTGTTCGTTTTTACGCATTTTCAAACACCAATATTAAATTCTACTTGATCGGTTTTTAAGCAGGTGATCCACACATGCAACGTGAAGGGAAATAAACAAATTATTATTCATTCATGGCTCTCCTCCTCTACTCCTTCGGAACGACATGTCATACAGACATCATCCACTGCTTCTAACAAAAAGGCATATATAGCCTGAAATAACAAAAAAACAGACAACACCGTATCAGAATTCAAAAAATCAAACCACCATGGCTGCTACATTGTCTCACTGCTGTTTCTCTCCCGCCATCACTTGTCTAAAATTAAATCCCGAACTCAAACCCATTAATTCCCTTCTCTGCCCTAACTCTTACAAACCCATTTCTTCCTCCAACACAAACCCCAGGTAGCACTCTCTTGATAAAGTCCCTCTTTAAAGTTTGTAACTTTACTCTAGTGAACGCTTAAAGATCATATCTTCTTAGCTCTAACTTGTTTTTTTTTCCTCCTTTCCTTTTTGGGCAGGTTGAGAATCTATCAAACAAAAGCAGTTTTACACAGACGGTCGCATAGGTTATTTGTGGTTTCTGGGTTGGTGGATGGCAATTCTGAGACATACCCAGAAGCAGAATCAAGTGATTTGAATGAGGTATGTGGTTTTTGGCAATGTTGGTTTTGCTTGCTTTTCGTTTTGATAGATTCGTGTTTTAAGTAAGAGTTGTTGAGTCATTGTGGGCTTGATGGTAATTATCCATTTGCTGTTTCTCTGTTTTCCTTGATTTTTATTATATGTATATGCATGTGAAGAGGGAATCAATTTTACTTCGTAAGTAATTTTTCATTAGTTTGATGCTTTAACTAAAAAAGAAGAGAAAACATAAAATTCTTAGCAAAACATAAAATTCTTAGCTTTGTTTTATTTTCCTGCATGTTCTTTTAGGATGGTGCAACCATTGACATAAAACTGCCAAGGAGGAGTTTGCTTGTGCAATTTACTTGTAATGAGTGTGGCGAGAGGTCTAAGAGGCTCATAAATCGCTTAGCCTATGAACGGGGACTCGTTTATGTACAGGTACTCATCTGTTCTTATTGACTGCTAGAATGACAAGAAATTTTGTAATATGTTTCTTACCATTAAGCATTTATCCTGCTATGTTAAAGACCAGCGGTTTACTGTCCTTTTGGCATTAAACAAAAAAATAAAATAAATAAATAAATAAAGAGAGAGAGAGAGTATTCAGATTTGATTTTTTCTTGGAAAGGCATAATCTAAAACTTCCGATAACAAGCCTGTTATGTTTCATGTTCAAACTGGAAGAAATGATATGATTTAATGTAGAAAAATGGAGGACCTCAAAAGTAATATGAAGCACTGCAAGAAAGTTGAAATCCCATCACCTTTCCATAAGGAAATCTTGTCAATGTTATTAATTATCAAAATGTTTTCTCAACAGAAATTAACCTAAATATCCGTAAGATGTTATTCGTATATAATTTAACATGCTGGCATGAAAAGGGGCTGAATGAACTTTAAAGGTCTGGATTTGTTTTGGTTGTTTTTCAATAACTATAGGAATAGATTGGAGCATATGTATTTCCCTGGTAACTTATTCAGTATTTTGCATTAGGTTGTTTCCTGAATAATCATATTTATTTGTTCATGGGAATGAAAATGGTTGGTTCGTATTGGGTTCATTTCTGCCTAGGGAATTGTTTCAGGAATGTTATTGCTTATTCATTCTTGGGGAAGCTTGCAGAACCTTAATTTTCCCTAGAACATTATAGATACTCTTCAGGGAAGAACAGTTTCCGATGCAAAACAGTGCAACTGAAATGGATTGATTTTGTGTTTTTATGTTGATGTGTTATATATGCCATCATCTGTCCCCAGAGTTTTGTCCGTGGATATTTTTGTATTTTTCCTTATGATGCCTCAGGCACCCAATCTGTCAGATGATTTTGATTAGTTCTTTTTTTTTTTTTTGAACTATTTTCATTATCTTTTCATTTCATTACCCATTAATTGACCACTTACAATGGTTAATTCAGTTAGGGTTAGGTTATTATGAATGCTAGAAAACATTAAGCTTTGTTTTGCATATCATGCAGCTCGCAAGAGCATATTGTCTCACTAGTACTTGAGCTTAATGCTACTGCTTGTATGAGTAGCTTAAGTTCATTCTGGATTGTTGTTTGTCCGGTCATGATGCTGTATGCCAGTAATACAACTTGAAATATATTGCTTATTGCTAAGATATTCATTGACAGACATAAAATCAATGTGCAATCAAGAATAAAGACTAAGATAATTTATAAGTTTTTCCTGTTTAAAAAGTTTGCTGAATATTATGTCAAGTAGTAAATATTTCTGCATTGCAAGGATTCATGTGTTTCTTCTAGTTTAAATAAAATTTTAAGTGCTCATCTAACCAGCAGGTAGTGCTTCTTGTTAGTGTGCAGGGTGTGAGAGGTATCACAAGTTAGCTGATAATCTTGGTCTTGTATTTGAGTATGACTTGCGGGAGGAAATTAGTGCAGAATCAAATGCAGATCACGTTTGATAAGCAACAATGAATTAAGTTTCTATTCTGTTTTCTTCTCTTTGATAGTTTGTTCATGGTTGTAAGGTTCATCTTTATTATATACTCCAAGGAACTGAAAAAAAAATACAAAAATGTTGACTATTTCTTGGCTTGCCTTTTACATTATAATTCCTATAATATGAATTTCATGCTGGTCTTATTTGTACATATAAAATAATCTCTCTTTTCATCATAGAAATAATTTTATGGCTTGGTGAGATTTCTAGAAACTGTAGCCTGTAACAACCAGCAAAGAGGCAATTGCTAACACTGTCCTTGCCCACTTTCCGACCCTTCCTTCCTGATGATACAATGTATTTCCTCCATTCTGCAAGTTAGAAAAAGCAGGGTACATCCTTTAGAACAATTTGACACTTATTACTATCTTTCTGGAATGGAATTATTAGTGCATTTAGTCAGTGGTTTAGAGTAAATAAATTAATTGTTTAAAAACGTACTGGATTTGGGGATGGTGCAGGAGCTGTGTCCTCAGATTCTGTTGTCACCGTAGGTGGGGCTGGGGGGCTCGGAGGATTTGGTGCTGGAGCTGGTGCGTGATGATGCCTCTTGTGCTTGTGTTTTCTTTTCTTCTTGTGCTTGCCAGGAGCTGGTGCTGGGGAAGGCACTAATGACGGTGATGGAGCTGGTGGTGGAATAGCTGGTGCCGGCACTGGTGCTGGTGGTGGAGTGGCTGGTGCTGGTGCTGGTGTTGCTGGCGCTGGTGCAGGTACTTCCTTAGCTGGTGATGGCGCCGGTGTCTCCTTTGCAGGGGCTGGTGCTGGAGGTGCTTGTGCTGGAGCTGGAGACACTTGTGGTGGTGGCAAAGAAGGTGGTGGAGTAGCCGGTGGTGGTGGCAGTGCTGGTGGTTGTATTGGAGCTGCAGTTGGAGGTGGAACTATTGGGCTGGTAGCTGGTGCTACTTTAGGAGATGGTGGAGGTATAGGAGTGGTTGCAGGTGGGGGTGTCGCTGCACTTATTGGTGATTGTATTGGTGTGGTTGGTGTGGTTGAAGGTGGAGGCGTGGTGGTTACCGGTGCAGGTGTAGTGGGCAAAGTTGTTGATGGTGATGCTGCTGGTGTTTGGGCTTTGGTAATAGGTAACGGGAAACTCAGACAAACCAAGATAAGAACCCAAAGCACCGAAGCCATTTTGTTGTGATGCTACCAGGAAGACGTAATATGTTATCAGTTATATAGAGTAGTCGAAACAGGATTTTTGAATTTCGTAAATGTTTGGTGGAATGTCAAGAGGGAGAGATGTAGTCTTCATTTGAATGCTACATCTCTTCTAATGATTGGGAGTGATGTCTTTTTCTGCCAGGTCTGCAATTAGTTGGTCCTATCAACCGGATATGAGACCTAAAATTTAGAAATCTTGCTGAAGAAAAATGCACTGCTTTAAGTTTCAGCTATATTTATACTTTAATTGCAATCGTATCTGTTGATAGGATTGTCAATGGTTTTATGCAGATTTAACTCATTCAGAACCTAGCACTTAAGAGTGAAGGCTCTGCAGTTTCTTTATCTTCAAGGTGTACGTCGTTATTAGGCAATATGCGTTTGCTTTATTAGAATCTTGAAACTAATAAAAACTTGAATCAGGAGCTTATATTTTAGGAGCATTTCCACGATCATTGATTAGTTGTGCCAAATATAGCGAAATAGGCTGAAATTGTGAGAGAGGGAATGCAACCAGCAATCCAGGCTGACCTTTCACCTACTCAGCATAGACCATGACGTGGATCCTAACATACAACCTAAACATTGGTAAGCAGTCCTTGTCCAATTTAAGGAGAGAGAGGTCCCGTACTTTGCTACAAATCTGGTGATATTCACCAGTCTCCGGCAATGAAACCACCCTTCTTTTTTTCCACGGACGGTTGGTGGGGGGTGGCAGACAGAAATGAAGCCTGCAAAATCAAAATTTATGCAGTTACAATTACAAATGATAAAAGAGATTCCAGTGGTTTGCCACACAGCTGGTCTATGACAATTGCTACTGCAGGCCCACATAGAACCAAGATATCTGGGGACTGATATCACTCAATCTTTCCAATAATATGATGATCTCTCTATGTTAATAAGAGGTTTTATTCCAAGTCATATTTTCCACCTTCAGACATGGCAATTTGAAGTTTGTGGATTTCATATTCTCAGAGACAGAGATAATCTATTCAATTTGATTGAGAAGATAATATGGTTTCCAGCAGGGTTTTATTGACTTACAAGGCCCTCATGGTGTTCTTTCTCCCATCTCTTACAAACAGAACATGGCGTGGAAGATATCATGCATCTTTCTGAGGATTTTAGATTGAGGGTTTGTTATGGGAAGACACGAAGGCTGAGGAGGGGAATCTTCTTTCTTCTCCTTTTTCCTTCTCCTAAGCTGGAAGAATTGCTGCATTACATCTACACACTCCAATTCCAATATTCCTCGCCGGATTGTCATCTTTGGATGGAAAGGATGGACCGGAGCAGCTGGCTTATCTGCCAGTTCTGAGTCATTTCGATCTCGCCCATCATGAAACAGCCTGCAAATATTGCCATACATCAACCTTTTGGGAATCATAAGGTAAGAAAGTTCTGTTATAAGTCGGTTGAATGCCTGATCAACTTATATCAATCTGGCGTGTGAATGATGGTTTGTTCTACCTCCTACACCCCCTACATCCCATTCTAGCAGGGATTGTGTGCTTGCTTGGTAACTGGAAAAGGTAGAGTTTTATATAATACCCAGCAGCCATTTCAGTTAAACTAAGAGAATGGCTATACAAACCAATGCACCACGTTCTTTCCAATAAAAAAATTTGCAACTATAGTAAGAAATAAATGACTGGTTGAAGTGAGGACAAAGAGTGTGCTCTATTAATCATATTTTGATCCACATGCATTAGGAGCACTATTAACATTGATGACAGTAACAGGATAGGGTAACCATTCAAAAGGAAGAAAATGAGCCAAGTGTATCTAAGTCTGATTAAATAGTAATGGCAAGGCAATTTTAATCCTTTCCCATTGGGGACACGTAACGTATGGTCAGATCATCTTAATAACCGGTCTCAGTAAGCCCTTTCCCATTGGGGAGAGAATGTATGGTCAGATCATTTTAATAACCAGTCTCAGCAAGGAAGGACCAAATAAGGCATTTCTGTTGTAAAACGAATTTGACACTCATAATATTTATTAAGTAAAACCATTTAATAAGGCTTTGATTGTTCATAAATAATAGTTGAATCTACAAAAGACCAGTCTCCCATTTCTATAGATTTCGAGGAAGATGTGCTTACCTAATCCAGCTTCCATCAGCTCCAAGAAGCTTATTGGGAGCTCCCCATACAAGAGTTTTTATTCTTGCTTGAAGTATTGCTCCAGCACACATAGGACATGGTTCAAGTGTTACATAAAGAGTAGTATCCTGCAAATTAAATCATTAAATCGCGTAGAACTTGCTGTGAATATCAACAAAATTAGAGACAGTTCCTTGAAAACTGATTTCGACTTTGAAAGTGAGATTTCAATTGATATAGATACAATTGCCTCTGTTTCTTTTCCTTTTATATGAAAAACCTAGTCAATGAATAGGTTAAAATGGTTTGATAATGACTAAACTAGTTAAGAGTGAATGCATTAATTAATAATTATTGTCTCCTTAAAACACTGAATATTTCGAAAGAATGAATTAAGTAAATAAAAGGTTTTCAAAACACAGAAAAACTACCGAAAGCCTCCATGACCGAAGTTGATTTGATGCCTCCCGTATGCAAATCATTTCTGCATGGGCAGTGGAGTCTCGCAACTCCTCCACTCTGAAAAATAAATCTCCACATAAAGACCCCAAAATAAAGTAAGCACAGTATAAGTTTTCATTCACAAGTGCATACAACTTACAGGTTGTAGCCACGAGCAATAATCTTCCCATGATGCACCAACACAGCCCCAACAGGCACCTCCCAAGAATTGGCAGCCTTCTTGGCTTCTAGCAGTGCTTCTCTCATAAACATTTCATCAATTTTCCGCTGCTCACTTTCATGTAAATAAGCCTCTTCCCATTCATCGAATCTGTCTCTCCCGACTTGCTTGTTTCGCTGAAGCCTCCTTTGTTTCAACTCCAAACCCTTCCCCTCAGAGCCTGATACTTCAATTAACTTTTCACTATCAGGTTGCTCCATCGTCTCCATTGAGCCACTAACAGATATATTAGTTTTAGCAGTACCAGAACTTTCTTCCACAATGGGACCACTTGTGCTAGCAGAAGGCAATAGAACTAGTGATGATTCCCCTACTTTCATGCTAGATTTAGCAACTTGAAAATTGTTCCTATCTTGACTCCAACCAAGGTTTTCCTTTTCAGGAGGTGAGGAAATGCCTTTTGATGTGGACCCGTTTTTTAATGTAATTGATGATGGAGATGAAGCGTCTTCTTCAAGCCGTTTAATTGTGTTCTTTGATCCAAATGTGTCAGATGTTTTTACCTCATCTGGACTAGAAGTCTGTGTTAGTTGCAGCTGGTGAGAAGAGGCTGCTCCCTTTTGCAAGCTTTTTGTTTCCCTTTTCACATTCTCATCACTGGTTTCATCAGGTTCATGGCCAGAAAACCATGCCTCACTAGTAACAGAATCATTTGACGAACTCTTTCCAGCTGATTTTTGAGCTGATTTAGGAGTTTCAGCACGTGAACCCCATCGCAGTCGTACTATGTTTGAGATGATATTCCACACAGACCTTTCAGTTCTCCTGACAACAATACTCTCAGTTTCTGTACTACCTGATGGTGCTTCTGTCTCTGGAGGTTCCTGAACAGATGGGTCTTTTACATGCCACATTTCATCTGAAGGACCCTTCTCTCTAGAGCCCATAGATGATCGCCTTGAGTCCCGCCTCTTCAACTGCAAGTCTTCAGAACCATATTGACCTGAACTCTTTCGCCTCTGCTTCTCAACTTCATGTGCAAACTTTGTATCAGAAACTTTCTCCTTTTGGATTTCAGAAGTCGACACTTCATGCCTAGCCTTCTCAACAAACTCTCCAACGAACTGCATTGATGATGCCTCTAAACGATGAGCTGAACCAAGAGCATCTTCAGTTAAGTTAAGATTTGAAGCCTCCCCATATATCTCATCTTTCCCATCTCTACCATAAGCTTCCTGCTGGAACAGTGGAGTTCTCCCTCCAGAATTTCTATACAGAGCACTAGAGCCACTTTCTGCAGGTTCTCTGGAATCCTCTTGGTTTGCAATACCACTGGGCAGATTAACACGAAACCAATCTCGAGATAACAATTGAGGTGACGGAGGCATCGTTATTGTCTGTGAGGTTCTTTCATTCCCCTGCCCCACATCAACATGTTCAATTCCCACTTGGGAAACCATTTTTGCAGATGCTTGAGAATCAAAGGCATGCCGTGAAGTTGTTTCATGAAGCCTTGATTCATTAGTAGCCCTATGGATCTCATTTCTAGATTTGAATTGAGTGACATTTTGCTCAACTTTATCATCTCTCTCCCTAGTTTCAGGAATGGCTTTCGCAGCTGATGTTGATTCACTTTCCTGATCAACTATTCTCTTTCCAGAAGTTTCGCCAAAAGTGGTGACCGCTTTCATATCACTTGCATGGACCAGGGATACATTGGTGACATTCAGAGATATATTATTGAAATCTCCAGATCCTTTGCTGGCAGTTCCCTGCAGAGCTTTTTGATCTGTGTGCGACTGGTGCTTTTTTGCTTCTGTACCTAAACTAGAAATGGCACTTTTACTTTCCTCCTGCTTCTTCATTCTACTTTCTGATTGTAAAATCAAAGTCTTTTTGTTAGTACTGTCATGAACTTCTGGTATTTTAGATAACTGTTGTGAACTTCTTGGCTGAACTTGTCCAGCTGGGCGCCCACCCATTTGGAATTGTTGCTCATTTGTCTCATAAAATGAGCCTAGAGCTCTATCTTCTTCCAGAATCTTCATTCTAGATTCAGATTGCCTCTGCAAATTTGAAACTCTTTCAGTACTGACATTCTCAATTGTTGATGTGTCAGTGAGTTGGTGAGTAGCTCTTCTTATATTGTTTTTTGCAGCAGTTTCACCAACTACTTTATAACGCTCATCCCTTCCTTCCAAAACCAAATTTGCATCCACTAGGTTTCCTTCTCTACCGCTGAACCGCTTTTGGGATTTGAAAGTTGTTTCAGCATTTAGTCCACTGCTCTCCTGTTTATCAGCAATATCCTGGTAATTTCTTCTAAATTCAGATTGCTCTTTGACCTGATCACCCATCTCACCATATTGCTTTCTTGTTCCTTTCTCCAAATTAACCGCCAAACTTTCCTCTTCATCTTTGTTAATTTGCTTATGAGAATTTGATACCTTCCTGTAATCACTTTCATGGGTTCTTGCCATTCTCGATTGCATTTGTGAGGATTCTATTCCTGATTGTGTTTCTTCAATCCCGGTAAGTTTCTTCTCAGATTTCTTCCTCAAATCCCACTCGACACCAGTCCTTCTTCCACCAGTTCTCGCTTCTGATAGCTCCCCCTTCCACTGCATGCCATCTCTATACCGCTTAAATTCTTCCACAACTTGCTTCTCTAATCTACCCTCTCCACTTCTTAATTCCTTCCTGCATCCACTTGATGATTCTTCAAGACAATCAGCATACTCATCCTGAGCTTCTGTGTCCCTCTCAAAATCTCCTGCTGAAGAAAGTGAGTAATATGATGAAAAACTAGAGCTCCCTCTCCTTTCCCTGTGATTTCCCCCCTTTGAAGCTGCTTTCTTTTCTTCTTTTTCTTCCCTGTCTTCCCTCTCTTCCTTCCTCATAACCTCTCCTCTCCTCAACTCAACTTTAGCTGACTCGAATTCAGATTTTGTATCACTCTCCAATGAACTGAGCCCAACATTCTTCTTCATCCTCCACTTACGAACTCCACCACTGTAATTCCCTCTCTTCTCCATTTCCACTCTCTTCGACAAACCCCAATTTCTCTCCGCATCACCCGAACACTCTTCACTCACTTCCTCACTCAACAAACTAATCACAGCCTCCACATCATCGACCCCACTAAAACATCGCCTCTCGCGCAACTTTACTCCCCCAAACCCTCCCTTCCTTCTCCTAACAACCCTCTCACACCCATTGTTCTCCTTAAAAGACCAAGAAACCTCACAAAAGCCATGATCAACGCCATAAGCCGGAACCCGGTAATAATACCTATCCTTCCCACCCAAGATCAACCTTCTAGAAGGTGAACATTGAATAAGACTAGATTGTCTCAACCCAAAAAACAAACTTGGGTTTATTGCCACTCTATGTACAGCAGTAGTAGTAAATGATGATGATGCACAACAAGAACAAGAGCAGCAACAACAAGAGCTACATGATGAAGCACAGGATTGTAATAAAAATGGGTTTCTTTCGAATCTTTCATTTAATAAGTTAGAGCAGTCATTGAAAGAAAATGAAAGTGACCCTTTTGTTCCAAGAGACAACAAAGTTGAGCTGATGTAAGTGTTATGCATTTCTTTTGAGAGAGGCTTACCTGAACGGACTTTGTTGGGTTTTTGGAGCTGAAACTGAGAGTGAAACCATGTAGAGTGTTCTGTTAGGAACTGGTTTAATGATTAGTACTTCTGTTTGACAAGATTTGGACCAGAATTTAGGATGAGAGAGAGAGATTGTAGTTTCAAATCGGATGAGTCGACTCTCTCTGGGTTGGTTTAACTTGGTCGAGTTTAGAGAATGACACAAACTTGGCTGCTGGCTTCTCAGGTGCTTGCTTTTACCCAGACACTCATGGGCTTTGTATGTATGTTAATTGAGCTCCGATCTAAAACTTTTTGGGCTCAAGTAGTCCAATCCATTAAGATCATTATGAAGGGCAACTATTTGGGCTTTTACTTACCGAATTAAATTTCTCCTTAGAGCATCTCCAATTGTGCTCTTTACTTTTAACTAGCATTTTTAATGTAAATAGAGAGTATCATTAATTATATAGATAGAAGATCAATATCCTCTCTAATGCTACTCTCTATTTAACTCTTTATTTTGACAAAATCTATAAAACTCATAGAGACTATTGGTGAAAAGGTTGAGTGGCATTGGAAATAGTAATTTTCATTAATAAAATATAAGATAAAGAGTCATTTAGACTCTCTAGTATTGGAGAGCCAAAGACACTCTTTATACTAATTTTAATGATAAAGATTGTGATAAAGAGAGCATTGGAGATGAAATTTAGATCAAAACTCTTTATTATAAAGAAAAATCTTAATATAAAGAGAGCATTGGAGATGCTCTTAATTAACTATTTTATATAAGCTTGAAAAATTTTACATAAATAATTATCAGTAATTACTCTATGAATTTGTATGAGAAGAAAGACATGTACAAAGGAGAAAGAGATATATTCATAAAAATTTTCTTTTTTAGATTTGAATTCGAGATAATAATGTGAAAACAAAATCACTTATCAAATGAATTAATTAATATTTAATTATGAAAATTATGTAGATTGCAAGCTTAATTATAATATTATGCTATTGTGCTATTTTATATACTAGATTAGATACTAATATAATTCATTAAGAACTGTTCAAGCCATTTTCACGAGTAGATAAAAGAGAATAGAGATAATAAAAATAATGATTTTGATGATTTATTATAGGATATTGTATATTATATATGTGTCACGAGAATATGCTCGATGACGCTTTCTCCCTTTCGAGGGGGTAAAAAACATCTCAATGGCTTGGAATTAACGATGTGCCAACGACCTCGTTATGATTTTTGTAAAACAAATGCAATAAGTAAATAGCAAGTAAATATAATATTAATGAAACTTCTAAATTACAGATTAACTAAATATAAATATTTATTTACTTTCTAAACACTCAACACCCAATTTCTCTATATATATGACTAATACCTATCAAGTCAGCAATCTGTTCGGTAAAAAAAAAATTCGTGCATGGTGGCTATGGCTAATTAACAAGAAGGAAGCAGCTTCAAAGTAAATTCTCTCTTAAATTCCAATTCGGAACATTCACATTCACAGAGAATTCATTGATTATTCTTCATTTGTTCGTGGAACACAGCAGGCATAATTTAATGCCCAGCTACGTTGCCAAAAAAGACTCATTGGATCCTTCATCATTCTTAAGAAGATTGCAAGCTATTATAATTAGGTTTCCTTTAAATGATTTTTGCAAATCTTTTTTTTTACACTTTTGACTGAAAAAGAAAAAGGTTGCAAATATGTGTAGTTATAAACAATTTTTGACTTATTTAAAAAGTTATTACAAAACAAAGTGAAAATCCTACTAAAGTCAAAACTTAGAATTTTTATCTTCTAATTGTATTATCTCCTCCCATTTAAGTAGTTGTTTTCTGACAATTTTTACTAAACATATTTCCAACTTAACTAATTAGCTGACGATCAAAAAAGTTATTTTCCATGAACCATACCAAAGGAAACCTAATTAGTTCGCGTATTATTGAACTCTTAAACAGTGTTATCATGTCCAAGTCTACAGAAGTAGCGTTTTATTTTTTCAACCCAGAGTCTATGTTTCAAATAATTTTAACTTCTGATCGATATATATTTCAGCTGAGTAGAAAAGCAAGGCAGATTAAGTGAGAGAACTGATTGTTTCATATTCAAGTGTACGGCGTGTTGGTCAAAAGAAGACTAATTAGCTGCTACTATTGATGCAGCCCTAACCTAAATAAAACCTCAATTAGCAGAGCATGCACTCGGCATAGAACTTTCGGTCACGGAATTTTTTTCAGTCAAACATTGCACCTCACAGGTTAATTACACCATTCAAAGACTTATTCAAAATTAATTAAGGTTGAATCTACTATAACTAATCGTTAACAAAGACATATTTATTTTGATTCAAATTAATTTAAATTTGCCATCATCATTTATACAACAGATTCGGAGCATCTGCTTATTAACTTTAAATTTAACTATATATCTTCACCCGTTTACTCATTCTCATCCTAAAAATAAATAATAAATAATAAATAAATAAATAATAGATAAAGTTTAACGTATATATATATATATATATATATATATATATATATATATATATATATATCAGATGCAGTTTTTGTGAGAGAGAGAACGAAAAAAGGTGGCATTGGATATTATTTATAAAATTTTAATAAAAAGACACTGATCTCATCCTACTGTAGATATGTTTAAAAGGGCAATAATGAAATTCAAATCTAAAATATCGAAATGAAACGAATCTTCTAATTAATTTGTATCATTTTAATAAAAAGACATTGATTTCACACGGCACAAATAGGATTATGTTATATATACAACTGCAGATATGTTTAAAAAGCCAATAATGAAATTCGAATCTAAAATATCTAAATCAAACGAATCTTCTAATTAATTTGTATCATTTTAACCCAGCTGGTCGACGTCTGCTGAAAAGATATTTAACAATATTAATTAATGATAGTAGCATATACATTATTTGAATGAGAAAATAAATTAATCAAAGGATCAGGAGCATAATGGCTTGAAATCTCCGGCGTTGACATCTTCGTGAATGTGGTTGCCCAAAATTCTCCAGTCCTCTCTGACGTCTCCCTTATTCCTCGGTCAGCATTGATGTACAGTAATAAAACTAATAATTCATTTCCAAAAAAAACAAAAAGCCTCAAACTTTGCAGAAACATTAATTGCCAACAAGGAGGGTATGTACGTGTTTAATTATCAGTGTTCCCCAAGTCATGCATGGTGATGACTAAGTTGGATCTTTCTATATCGGCTGCTTTTGATTAATGAATAATTTTAGTTTATCAAAAACGGAAAAAAAAAAAAAAAGACGGTATTAAAGTAGAACTGTTGGCCTACACACAACTTGTTTGATGGATGCTTTTCAGAATGCATGGCTGCCAATCTAATTTTGATTCTTTTTGAAATTTTTATCGTTGTTCAAAAACAAAGATACATAGACACTCACCCCGACACTCACTGGCTCTAATATTTTGTTTTTTTGGGTTTTTTTTCAAATATTTCCATCACAAATTTATTATTTTATATTTTGAAATTAAGCTCGATGATGCATGATGAAAGCTGAAATTGACCTTTAACAAAATGAAAACAACATCAAATTAATTTTCCCTGGCAACCGCGGCATCTGGATTTGTGATAGGAATCTTATCTCCAATGTGTCGCTGATTGCTTCAAAAGGAAAACAAGAGTAAAAGCAATATTGCCACGTTCTCTTTTTCTTTTTTATCCATATATATATATACAGTCATGGGATCATGTCATGCATCTGGTTAAACCAGAAACTCGTCTAACATTTTCCCATGAGAGACAAACAAAGCCCCCCCACCACAATTAAGGAGCAATAGCCTTTGATGGATGCCATTTGATGTTGAAACTGGCTTCTTTTACGTGCAATTCCCTTCACAAACCTTCAATACGTATTTCGATTGATATTTATCATTAATATTTTCTACTACTAATAGGCAAAGTCTTAGAGAAAGATTGACAAAGAAATTAGCCATTTTCATTGTTACAGCATCCAAAACAAAATCTTCCCTATTGTACGTGGACAGTAAAGTTGAAATGGAGGTGACACTGTTGATTTTTCTTAGCTTTTGTAAACACTATATGTGGTCTGTGGCATTGACAACTATAGGCTAAATATTGATACATACGTACCCACCCCGATTAATTAAACCAAAAAAAAAACACTCCTTATGGTCATAGGTTGGATGATGCTGTATATGTAAGCTTATCCACTTAAAATTTAAAATCTAAACACCCCACATGGACCACTACCCATGAATCGAGTGACGAAGCTACGATTTTTATAGAAGGTGGCAAAGTTGCGTAGCAACAAACATTAATTATTTTAGTCAGCACTATTGACAGAGAAATAAATTTATATCTATCAAGCATTCTCAAAACAAAATTTATAAATTAGAAAATCATTTTAAAATTTTAATTCCACAATAGATAGGTTTCTAATTGATAACTAGCACAAAAGAATCAATTTCAATCAACTAAATAGAATTAAGAATGCAATATTCCAAAAAATGATTAAATGCATAAAGCAAATCACTAATTATACACATAATAAAAATTAATTAATGATTAAAGAATTGTTCTAAAATAAAATTATTTAATTGGATTGCAAGGCTAAATTTATTTTGTTATCAATCAAATTAAATGATAATACTAATCAAGGTAAGTAATGGTAACTGATTTTTAAAACTCTAATTCCAAAGTTTAAGATGGTCAATGATTGCCCATTACCATATATAAAACGTGGCTTCGCCACTACACCCATCCATGCATAGGTTGAAAATTTTCAGCATGCACTTCAGCAATCGTATCAACGAACTAAGACTAATATTATATTATATATCTACCATTCTTGTTCATTTTCTTTTCACGACAAAACAATATTTACAACATTTGGCTGACTGATATTCTCGAGAAACGTGAAAGTCACTCCGTTCTAATCTACTGGGGCTAAAACCAAAGTCTGCCTGTAATTGTTCGAATTTTGAAATTATTTGCATCTGTAATGTTAAGATTTGAATCTAAG